CTGGATGACTTAGATGCTCTTTAGATTTTCTCTTTTCTCTAGATGACTAAGTTTTTAATTAGCAGCTTGGTGCCAATATTAAAAGATATTTAATAATATCTGGTGGAAGCAGAGGAGTCAGTATTTTTTAAATGAGAAAATGTGTACTAAGCTTTTGACACATTTGATCAAGATGAGAGTAGTGGGAAAAGGTCCTCAGCCTCCTCGTTTTTTCTTACAGGAAATGGTTAAATGCTCTAGGTGACTGATACTCATCTTTGAGAATTTTGTTTACTGTGACACCGTCATTTAAAATGGAGAGCTTCCTTTTCTCACGTAAAAATGGAGCCTTCCTTTTCTCTCTCCCTATCTCTTTTTTCTCTTTTTGTGTGTTTGCAGAGGTAGGGCTTGCCACCAGGCTGGACTTGAACTCATGGTCCTCCTGCCCTAGCTTTGAAATATTATGGGCTATACCCTTATATCTGGCAAGTTTTGTGGAAGCATGTTTCCACATCCAAGGTTGTAATGGGCATATGATGATAGCTGCCAAGGAAAGCAATTTGGGAAGGATGATATAAGCTGAATAATGGACAAATCTTATGTGGCTTTACATTTACAGTCTCCATACATGCTCCCCCACCCAAACCTCACATACTGAAGGCTGTAGATGCTGCCTTTGGCATTTGACCTTTTTTGCCAATCTTACTTGTGAGGCACTAGTTGCAACATTAGATCTTCATCCTGTGGTTCTAGAATATTGTATATCGACATATTTCCACGCATTTGTGGTTTCTCGTTGATTATACAGTTGACTTAAGTCAATACCTTTGTTGATAATAAACAGAACCCACTGTAGCTAATTTCTGCCAAGGAGGGAATTTGTTTTGAAGATACAGGTGGGTCAAAGGTGTGCTTGGATTTCACAGAAGCCTGGAAAGCCTTGGGAGTTCAGGCCATTATTGTGTGTCAGAAAGCCTTGCTTTTATCTCTTTTTACCCTTTTTATGTGTACCAGTTCTCTACAGAACTGCTTCCTTTGCTTCTCCATGTTTGTGGTCTGATTTCCACGTCTATATTTTAAGCAGCTTAATTATCATCTCTGAGCTCTTCAGCCAAATTAATTCAGAGATTATTATGAAACAACTGTCCTTGTTAGTTTCTCTTCCAGTGAACTGGAGTAGAAGAACTTGTTCAATCTAGGAGGTCTAGGTTACAGTGATCTGAAATTGGGGTTGGATAGAAACCTAAAATATACCTTCGGGTTTTTTTTGTTTTGTTTTCTGAAATACAGGATGTGGTGGCACTTGCCTGTAACCCCAGCATTAGGGAGGCTGAGGCAGTTGCCGGGTTGAGGCTTACCTGGGCTAAATAGGGAGACTCATCTTTAAACAAAACAAAACACCAAAATAATACAACAGGCTGATACAACAGCAGGCAAATCTTCTCCAAGCTAGCTACAGTATTTGGACTGCACAAGGCACTAGTCAAGACGATTGCTGTAGTCTTTCAACAACTGAATAGCATTGCTTTCTGAATTTTCAGTGGAAGATGATAGAACCTGTCAAAAATAATTGTGCTTTCATTTAACTTTTTTACTTAAGACAGATAATAAAACCTCTTAGAATTTCTGAATTTTCCAAACACTCATAGTATGTACATGAGTACTTAGTCTTGCTAACTAGAACAGTGCATCTGATCAGCAGGGGTACTTTTTGCAAAACCAGAAGACTACAAGCATAAGCCACCAAGATCTGAGATCACAGTTCAAGGCCAGCCTGGGCAGGAAAATCCAATAAACTACCAAAAAAGCTGAAAGTAGAGCTGTGGCTCAAGTGGTAGAGTGCTAACCTTGATCAAAAAGAAATTCAGAGGGGCTGGGAAGGTGGCTCAGTGGTAGAGTGCTTGCCTTGCATGCATGAGGCCCTGGGTTAGATTCTTCAGCACCACATAAGCAGAAAAAGCCGGAAGTGGCGCTGTGGCTCAAGTGGTAGAGGGCTAACCTTGAGCTGCAGAGCTGAGGGACAGTGCCCAGATCCAGAGTTCAGGCCCACAACCGACAAAAAAAAAAATTCAGGGACAGCTCCCCAACCTTGAGTTCAAATCCCAGGATGGAAACACACACACACACACACACACATCCCAGGATGGAAACACACACACACACACACACACACACACACACAGACTAGGCCGCATCAGTTGTTTTGTGTGGGGGACTGTGAGGGTCTGAGTGGGCAGTGAGCTCCCAGGATGACTTAACATGCCCCAGGTTAAGAAGACCTGCCCCAGAATGACTTGATTTATTCACATCTCCCTGGACAGAAATCACCATCAAATTAGACAATATTCAAAGTGGAGTCTCTGGGAAAACTGTTGCATTCTAAGCAGCCTTGAGATGGGTGTAAATTCTAATACCATAGTGTAGTCTCTATCAACAAATTCAGACAATATGTTATTTACTATAGCCTTTTATGAAAGTTAAATATGTGTAGTTTTGTTGACAAAGTGTGCTTTAAGAATTTCTTAGATTGGGGCTGGGAAGGTGGCTCAGTGGTAGAGCACTTGCCTTGCATGCCTGAGGCCCTGGGTTTGATTCCTCAGCTCCACATAAGCAAAAAGAAAAAAGCCGGAAGTAGCGCTGTGGCTCAAGTGGTAAAGCACTAGCATTGAGCTGAAGAGCTGAGGGACAGCGCCCAGGCCCAGAGTTCAGGCCCCACGACCGGACCCTCCCCCCTAAAAAAAAAAAAAAAGAATTTCTTAGATTTTTTTGGTACCACTCCTCGGGCTTCAACTCCAGGCCTGAGCACTGTGCCTGAGCCTTTGTGCTAAAGGTTAGTGCTTTTCCACTTGAGCCACAGCTCCACTTCTCTGGCTTTTTGGTGGTTAACTGGAAATTAGAGTCTCAGGGACTTTCCTGCTTGGGGCTGGATTTAACCTGTAATTCTCTGATCTCAGCTTTTTGAGTAATGAGGATTACAGGCATGAGCCACTAGTATCTGGTCTCTAGTCAAGATTTGACTGTATCCTTGTGGCACATGGTAATTAATGTATTTCTCTGTCCCTGTGTTTCTTCTTTTTTTTGTTTGTTTGTTTTTGAAACAGGTTCTCAGTATGGTTCTCAAACTGGCCTTGGGGGCTGGGAAGGTGGCTCAGTGATAGAGCGCTTGCCTTGCATGCCTGAGGCCCTGGGTTCGATTCCTCAGCACCACATAAACAAAAAGAAAAAGCTGGAAGTGGCTCTGTGGCTCAAGTGGTAGAGCGCTAGCCTTGAGCTGAAGAATTGAGGGACAGCGGCCCAGGCCCAGAGTTCAGGTCCTATGACTGGGAAAAAAAAAAAAAAAAAACTGGCCTTGAACTCATGATCTTCCTGCTTCCCAAGTGGTGGGATTACAGGAATATGCAACCACTCCTGGTTTCTAGAGTTTCAGGACAGATTGCCACAGAAGCTCAAACATTTTGAGGTTAACATACTAAGGTTAGATTAGATATTTTGGCAAGAATGCTTCTGAGATGATGTGGTAGACTTCATTAGGAGGCTTGCCACATCTTCTTGTTATGATAGTTTTGCAAGCATCATTTTAAAAAGTTGGCTAAATATCTTTTTTTATTTTTTGTGCCAGTACTGGGGCTTGAACTCAGGGTCTGAGCTCTCTGTCTCTTAGCTTTTTTGCTTGAGACTAGCAGTCTATGACTTGTGTCACAGCTCCATTTTGGACATTTTTGGTGGTTAAGAGTCTCATGGACTTTCCTGCCCAAGGTGGCTTCAACTTTGATCCTCAGATTTCAGCTTCCTGAGTAACTGGGATTATAAGCATGAGCTTCAGCTTCTAGCCTGCTTATTATCTTTAAATATCTAGTAAATGTTGAACCTGAAGTAGAAGACATATTTATTTAGAAATTGTGATACTTAGCTAAGCATCAGTTGCCCAATAGAAGTGATTGTACCTTGGTACAATCTCATGATCTTAGGTAATATAGAAAGAGGAATGAAGGGGCTGGGAAGGTGGCTCAGTGGTAGAGCGCTTGCCTTGCATGCATGAGGCCCTGGGTTCGATTCCTCAGCACCACATAAGCAGGAAAAAAAAAAGCCGGAAGTGGCGCTGTAGCTTAAGTGGTAGAGCTCTAGCCTTGAGCTGAAGAGCTGAGGACAGAGCCCAGACCCAGAGTTCAGGCCCCACGACCGGACCCAAAAAAAAAAAAGAAAGGGGAATGAATGTCTCAGCTATCTTTACTGAGCCCTAGTGGGTTATTAGAGCAGTGAATCTGCACTAACTAGAAACATTCCTTGTTTCTGTCCATTTTCTCCCTCACCCCTCCTTTTTTTTTGTCATCCTGGGGTGGAACTCGGGGCTTGGGTGCTGGGATCCTTTTGCTTAAGGCTAGCACTCTACCACTTGAGCCATAGCACCACTTTTGGCTTTTTCTGTGATTAATTGGGCATAAGAGTTTCACAGACTTTCCTGTTCTGGCTGGCTTTGAAACAGGATCCTCAGATATCAGCCTCCTGAGTAGCTAGGATTATAGGCATGAGCCACCAGCACCAGCAAAAAAATGTTTTAAAAAATAGCTTGTAAAGGGTTGGGAAGATGGCTCCAGTGGTAGAGTGCTTGCCTTGTGTGCATGAGGCCCTGGGTTCAATTCCTCAGCACCACATAAACAGAAAAACTGAAAGTGGCACTGTGGCTCAAGTGGTACAGCACTAGCCTTGAGCTGAAGAGCTAAGGGACAGTGCCCAGGCTTAGAGTTCAGGCCCCACAACTGACCTCCCCCCAAAAAAATAGCTTGTAAAAAGAAAAAGTAGCTTATTAGGGTTAGTAGAATGACTCAAAAGGTAGATTGCTTGTTTAGTCTGTGAGAGGCCTGGGTTCAATTCCTACCCTCTGCAAAAAAGAAAAACTATCTTCCTAAAATCTCAGAGCTCATGAGGTGAAGGCTTAGTGTATTCTGAAAATAACATTTATGTTATTTTGAGCCTTGAAACAAAGAAAAATATGACCTTTGCTCTTCTTTTTTTTTCTAAAGGAAATTCACACAAATGAAAAGGAAGTAACAGAGAAGGAAGCAACTCTTCACTTGTTGCCAGGTAACAGTCATGTTGGTATAGTTCCTTATATACAACTCAAAGCCAGTGAAAAATTACATCATCCTTAGTATCACTATACATAAATGCTTTTGTTTTCATCCTCTAGCATATCATAGTAACAAATTGGACAAAGACATCAAGGTCTTTACATCAATAACTATACTTGGTTCTGAGTATTACAACATCTAGAAATAATTTATTTTTATTTATTAATATTATTTATGTTTATTTTATTTTTGCTGGTCCTGGAGCTTGAACTCAGGGCCTGGGTGTTGTCCCTGAGCCTCTAGCTCAAGGCTAGTGCTCTACCACATGAGCCATAGTGCCATCTTTGTTTTTTTCTGAGTGATTTATTGGAGGTAACAGTCTCATGGACTTTTCTGTGCAGGCTGGCTTTGAATCACAATCCTCAGATCTCAGCCCCCTTAGTAGCTAGGGTTACAGGCATGAGCCACCAACATCCAGCTGGAAATTCTTTTTTGGGGTCCAGTCGTGGGGCCTGAACTCTGGGCCTGGGCACTGTCCCTCAGCTCTTCAGCTCAAGGCTAGTGCTCTACCACTTGAGTCACAACGCCACTTCTGGCTTTTTTTCTTTTTGCTCATGTGGTGCTGAGGAATCGAACCCAGGGCCTCATGCATGCAAGGCAAGCACTCTACACTGAGCCACCTTCCCAGTCCTGGAAAAAAAATTTTTTTCCTCTTTTTTTTCCCTGACCCAATAAAAATGAACCTGGAAAATGCTTGCCTCAGACAAGCAAATGAGGCCTTTTTTCAGTTTTTTCTACTAGGACTATAGTATTTCTAGTTTCCATTTAGGAAAAGCTTAAGTTTCCTGAAGAGTTCTCTAAAACCCATACATTCTCCCTCTGCCCAAGTTTAAAATTGCCCTTGAACAGCACAGTTGATGGGTGACCTCATCTGCCCGTCTACTGGTGTCTCTAGTAGCAGTACTGGCAATATTGGGGCTTATCAGCCGTGGGGCAATCAGAGCTTTGCTCTGTAGTCATTTTTATTATGAAGGGGTTTGGATTGATTACTTTAAATTTTAATCACTTCTAGATTTAGGAACAGAAACTATTTGATGGCATATCTTCCCCATATGTGGAAAATCTTACAGTATACTCTTTTTCTATTTTTCACCCCAATTCAGAATATCTTTTCCTCCCCACAAGTTGTTTTTTTTTTGTTTTTTTGTTTGTTTGTTTTGTGCCAGTCCTGGGGCTTGAACTCAGGACTTGGGTACTGACCTTGAACTTTTGTGCTCAAAGCTAGTACTATACCACTTGAGCCACAGCTCCACTTTTGGCTTTTTTGGTGGTTAATTGGTGATAAGAATCTCATGGACCTTCCTGCCTAGGCTGGCTTCCAACCACAGTACTTAGATCTTAGCCTCTTATAGGTATTAGCCACAAGTCCCCAACTTCGTAAGTTTTTACGTATGTTTTCCTCAAACAATAGCGGTCTCCTCAGGTGGTTAAGGGGGCATGAATAAATAGATGTTTCCAATTGATCAACCCGTTGGTAAAACACCTTGAAATTCTGAAACTTTTTTTAAACTATTTTTAGTTTCAAAGACTTTTTTTATGTTGTAATGATCTAAACCTTGTGTTATCTTTCCTGTTTTTTTTTTTTTTTTTGGTCACCATGGGGCTTGAACTCAGGGCCTGGACACTGTCCCTGAGCTTTTTATGCTAAAGGCTAGCACTCTACCACTTGAGCCACAGCCCCACTTCTGGCTTTTTCTGTTTATGTGGTACAGAGGAATAGAACCCAGGGCTTCACTCATTCTAGGCAAGTACTCTCCCACTAAGCCACATTCCCAGCCCTCTTTCTTTTTTTTTTTTTCTCCCTGCTTTTAGGATTAGAGATTCTGAAATTTGTTTTTTATTTTTAATTTGGAGTTATATATATTTTATGATCTTCTGGATTACCTGATGGTCTTTTCTAGGTCTACAGATGTGAGTTCACAGTTAATTTCTGTCAGTCTCAGCCTGTACTAAGCCCTTCGCAACTCCTAGTTCTCACGATTCTTGAGTCCATATCTGGTACAGACAAGGTGTTGACCCTGGCTGCAGCATCCATGGATACAGAGGGTGTCACCAGCAGGTTGTTTTATTACTGCACATTGATCTCTGGTCTCTGGTGCATGACCAGGGGAGGGGGCTGTCCTGGTTTGAGATGAACTTTTCCATCTTTTTCACCTTGGGAGTTGAAGCTTTGTCCATTTGTCTTTAATTTTGAACTTAGTGGCTGCTCTTTTTCTTGGGCTATTTTAAACCCTAACAAAGCCTTTACTTCATTGTTGTTTTTGTTTGTTTGTTTGTTTTTTCAAATTCTGTGATCTCTCTAGAGGCTTGACCTAGTGACTGAGCCATCTTCTGATATTTCCTTAGTGTTTCAGTTAGAGGTAATTTACTCCTTGAAAAATGAAGAAAGCACCATAAAATATATTCGCTTGATAGTGTGAGTTTGCTACCCTCACTCTTCTTTCTTTGTCTTAATGAACTTCCAGCTAACAAGTACACTTGAAGATGGGAAAATCCAAGGGCTGGGAAGGTAGCTCAGTGGTAAAGCGCTTGCCTTGCATGCTTGAGGCTCTGGGTTCGATTCCTCAGTACCCATAAGCAAAAAAAAAAGCTGGAAGTGGCGCTGTGGCTCAAGTGGTAGAGTGCTAGCCTTGAGCTGAGGAGCTGAGGGGCAGCGCCCAGGCCCAGAGTTCAGGCCCACGACCCAAAACAAAAGAAGATGGGGAAATCCAGAGGACAAATGAGAAGAGAAAATCCTTTCTCTTTTTTGTTGCAAAGTAGTTCACTTAGTTTTTCATTTCTCCCATTTCCTTCTCTTTTTCCTGCCCTCAGCTCATCCTCTAGCCCTCGTGGGGCTCTTCTGCTTCTAGGAAGCAGGAATGCTTACTCGTCTCCAGGAACTACAGTTGCTCACATGGGCCATTGAGAGGAAGTACTCTCAACAAAGAGAGGATATGTTTTCTTTTGTGTGGTTTTTTTTTTCCCACCAGCTATGACCTCTATTTTCCTCTCATCCTGCTGGCTAAGTGTAATCAGAATAAGGTGGTGTTGTGGGGTGAGGGTGGAGTTCAGCATCTGTGGTATCTGAGGAAGCTGTGGAAACCCTCATCTCCCACAGGAAAAGGGAGTGAAGTGTGCATCCAGGTTCTGCACACCAGCCTGCCTGCCTTTCCTCATTTAGGGTATCACTGCTCTGAAACATCTGCTGGGGTCAAAGTAATAAAAACACTTAGATCTGTGCCTCAAAGTGCAGCTGAATTAATTGCCACCTATTTTGAAGCCTCCATTCTTTGCAGTGAGAAACTAGAGCAATCCTGTATGATGGTGTCCCTAAGCCATTTGCTCCTCCCACTCTTGCTTTCTATTTTTTTTTTTTCTTTCTGTCTGAGATCAGGACTCAAACTCACTCCCTGACACTTTACCCCCATTGGCAGGCACCCTGACACCTGAACCATACCTCCAACCCCTTGTTTTTATCTTCTAAATTTGAAGCTCCTGACATTCTGAAGAGTGGCTCATTCTGAAATGCCACAGTGTACTATGTGTTTGTCCTTACGTAAACAGAGTGGGAAGCTTTGTGTTTGCATATAGTGTGTTCCCTGGGGACTCTGAAGACTTACTTTAGTTTCTACCAGGTGAACAGCTGCTTTGTGAAGCCAGCACAGTCCTGAAGTATGTGCAGGAAGATTCCTGTCAGCGTGGAGTCTATGGGAGACTTGTCTGCACAGACTTTAAGATTGCCTTCTTGGGTGATGATGAATCTGCTTTGGATAATTACGTACGTATGAACTAGATCTGCTGAATTTAGAATGAAGAGTGCAATTAGGACTTGTATTGCTCCCCTCCCAGTTTCTTAATCCTGCCATACCCAACACATAATATTAGCAGAAGATAGAAATTGTTCTTATCATAAGTCTATTCTCTTCAGAGAGTCCTTGCAGCAGGACCATTAAACAACTTCCCACTTATGCCTCATGTCACATTGGTTTGCTTTTTTTTTTTTTTTGGTCAGTCATGGGGCTTGAACCTGGGCCTGGGCACTGTCCTTCAGCTCTTCAGCTCAAGGCTAGCGCTCTACCACTTGAGCTCAGGGCCACCTCCCATTTTCAGAGTGATTTATTGGAGATAAGAGTCTTACAGCCTTTCCTGCCTGGGCTGGCTCTGAACCTCGATTCTCAGATCTCAGCTTCCTGAGTAGCTAGGATTACAGGTGTGAGCCACCAGCGCCTGGCTAAATCACTCATTGAAATAACACTTTTCCCCAATATATTAGTTCCCCATGTTTTCTGTATCCCAATCTTCCTCAAATCCAGGAATTGAGTTTAGTAATGAAACTAATAGTGAGTCCAGACTTTAACTTGAGCTTTTTAATCTGAACCTTGTAGTTCTGTCCTTGTGAGACATGTCCCTACTTACGAATGAACAATGAAGAAAAGACAGAACTGTCGCAATGGGAGAGCACTGAATGCCAATGGAAACCCAGCCAGAGACCTTCCTGGCCCCCGCAGAGACTTTTTTGGCCCCAGAGTGCCAGCTGTTTCCGAAGTCCCTTGCTTTTTTTTTTTTTTGTCAGTCGTGAGGCCTGAACTCTGGGCCTGGGTACTGTTCAAGGCTAGCACTCTACCACTTAGCTACAGCACCACGGCCTTTTCTGTTTATATGGTGCTATGGAATTGACCCCAGGGCCTCATGCATGCAAGGCAAGCTCTCTACTACTGAGCCACCTTCCCAGCCCTAAATGTTTAGCCCTTGCTTTTGAAAGCATCTGCCAACTCTTGTCTCTGTGCTGCTTCTCTTTGAAGTGAGTATTTTCTAGAAATTTGAATCTTTCTGTATTTTCTTCTTAAAGTTGGCCTCGGGTAGTTCTGTCAGTCACTTATTGGTTTTATGTGGAAAAAAGTTAACCAGCTTGTCACTTCTTCACACTTCTTAAAATGATGGTATATGGCAGGATGTGTTTCCATGGGAGCATCCCAGAAATGACATGTTCTGCCTAGTGTATGTGTTCATATGTGGGGGGGGGGCAGACACACACACACACACACACATATGCGTGTGCTTACACAAGTCCTGTGACTTGAACTCTGGGTCTGGGTGCTGTCCGTGAGCTTTTATGCTAAAGGCTAACATTCTACCACTTGAGCCACAGCTCCACTTCTGGCTTTTTTGCTGGTTAATTGGAGATAAGATTCTCATAAACTTTCCTGTCTAGTCTGATCCTCAGATCTCAGCCTCCTGAGTAGCTAGGGTTACAGATGTGAGCCACTGGAGTCTGGCTCTCTTCCTAATTTTGAAAACAGGTGCTCAGAACTCTTCTTACATATTTCATCGTCCCATTCTTAGGGATGATTGGTTGCCTTTTCTTTTATCTCAGTACAAAGTGGAAAACTGTGCATAGAAAGGAATTACAGGTTTGTGTTTTTAAATCTTTTAGGAGACTCAATTTAAGAATAAGGTTATAGGAGAAAATGACATTACACTCCATTGTGTGGATCAGATTTATGGAGGTAAGTATCTTTTTTCCCTTGTGTTATTTCCAATCTTGTAATATATAGCTGAAAGTGATCATTTTCTTGTAGTCCTTACAGTTTATTCAAATGTATTCATATATGTTGTCATATAAAGTACCTTCACGATGATAAATTGAAGTATGAAGGAAATTTTTTGGAATTGCTTAACTGGAGAAACTTGGACTTGAAACATAGTCTTTTTATTTTTTAAACTAGTTATATGTAAGGGTTGCCAAACGACTACCACATGGTTCAGGCAGAAAAGAGTTTATTGGGAGAGCCAAGCTGCACTCTAGGGTAGGGTGAGGCAGCTGGAACTAATGGCGGAGAAAGGTTATATAGGGAAGAGCAAGAAGGAGGTGTAACTGCAGTGGATGAGGAAGTGACCTCAGAGCCTGGGGACCTCCCACTAACTCGTAGGTGCACAGTGACCAGTTTCCTGGTGGTTACAGGTGACTTCTAGGGAGGGTCATGTGCAGTTTTGTAGGGAGAGAGAACAAAGGGGAAAGGGTCAATGTGTGGTTTCACATGAAGAGAAAACGAAGGGAAGGGGCCATTTTCCCAGGTGGACCTAACACTAGTATACATTAATTATACAAGGAAGGGGTTTCATTATGAAATGTCTACACATGTCCAAATGTATCTCAATAAATCTCACACCATAATCACTTTTTCTTACCTCCTTTTTCCCTCCTTAAAACATTTTGATAGGTTTTATTGTTCTATTTTCATTCATGTAAGCAAACTATTTCAACCATATTCATCCTCATTATTCTCTCTCTTTTGTTGTTGAGAGGGCTTCACTGTGTCAGCCCAGAGTAAACTCAAACTTAAAATCTTGCCTCTTCCTCTTGAGCACTGGGATTACAGTATAACTTAAAACCTGTTCTTCCTAATATTTCATACTAGATCATTCCATGTTAAGTGTTGGCCATAGTATCTAATATCGGTGTTAGCTGTGTAGGTTTTACTTTAAAGATTGATTTATATTGTTTTGTACTGACTAGATAAGTATCTACTGTCAAGTATCTCTGTTCTCTGTTCTCCATTTTTGGGTTAAAGTTATTTTCAAAAATTATTCAGTAGCCACTGGTGATGTTCTCAACACCATTAGGTGCTCAGTTGATCTAGGCTCAGGAGCAGACAGAAGATGTCATGAGAGGTGTTAGCTATAAACTTGAGCATTGGCTAGTCTGAAAGCATGTCTTCAGCATTCTACCAATCTTTTTTTTTTTTTTTGGCCAGTCCTGAGGCTTGAACTCAGGACCTGGGCACTTCCCTGAGCTTCTTTTGCTCAAGGCTAGCACTCTACCACTTGAGCCACAGTGCCACTTCTGGCTTTTTCTGTTTATGTGGTGCTGAGGAATCGAACCCAGGGCTTCATGCATGCTAGGCGACATTCTACCACTAAACCTCATTCCCATCCCTCTACCAATCATTCTTTATGATCTCAGCTTTTAGAGCTGAGTGTTCTTCAGGCCTTTGGAGTCTATTCTGGCCCCAGTGACCAGTCCATTTGGGTCTTATACTGACTCTAGAGGAATGAAGAACCTAATTGTTCTCAGAGAGCCAGAGTTCCTGCTAGGAGAGACTGAGCTCCTGTCATAAGAAGTTAATTGTGCATTGTTTCTTTAACATTAAGGGTTGCTTTGTAACATAATTTCCTGGTTTCATCACTCCCCTGTAGTGTTTGATGAGAAAAAAAAGACTCTCTTTGGACAGCTAAAGAAATACCCTGAGAAACTTATCATCCACTGCAAAGACCTCCGAGTGTTCCACTTTTGTCTGAGGTACACAAAGGAAGAGGAAGTCAAAAGGGTAACTAGTCACATGCATTTATAGGTTTTATTTCCTATTAGATTTCCCCCACTGGTTTTGTTTTGCTTCTGTTCATGAAGGTAAAGAGGAACCTTTTACTCTATAAAGCTGAAATTAGTTGTAATCCTGTATTCTTTGATTAGAGTATGAGAGATAATTGAGTAAAGCATACTTTTATGTCAACTTGGTAAATGAAACCTTTGATCCTTCAATTCATAATGTTTTTCTTGGAGTCTGTAAAGCAAGGGTAGGGAATATTTGGACCATGGGTCGTACAAGTCCAATTAAATCATCTGGTACATGATGGGACAGACACAGACACAAATGCTTTATGATTCTCATCAGCTTCTGTGGCTGTCTCCCTATATTGATGATTTTCTGTGCCAGTGAAGGGTGTTATAAATATCCAAGAGGCCCTTGGTATGAAAAAGGTTTGGGGAACAAGAGGATGGGACAGCTAAAAGTTATTCCCTTTCTCCATTTCTGACAGTCTGTCTAAAGGCAGTAGTGCTGAGTTCTAACTCCTGGTAATAAACGAATTTACCTGTGGGAGAGTGGTTGTGTGTGGAAGAAAGAGGTATATAGGTTAAAGGAGCAATTTACCACCATTAGTGTGTCTTTGGAAACTAAATATCATTTCCTCGTTGCAAAGCAAGATCTGTAACAGAGCTAGCACATTTAAAAGTGACTGTAACAATTGGATAATTCGTGCAATCCCAAAATTTCTCTTAAGATAGTGAAGCTCTCAGACCTTCTCTTATCAAGTTAAACACCTCAGGAAAAACCTAGCATGAAGCTAGTTCATGAGTGTTGTGTTATGCACACCTATAGATAACACCTTTTCTTTCAGATAGTGCAGTAATTCAGTTAGAATAAATGTGACTTCACTATCTATTCTGAGCAGGTGAAGATTGGTGAGAATATGGAAAATTCCGTGAGGAACCAGACACTTAATTTTGGATAATGGTTTTAGTCATCTATTCAAACAGACTTTTGTTTGATTCAATAGACAAACAGTGCTTTTTCTACTCTTTTTGAGGATCCTAAAGGACACAAGTAGGTCAAAACAAAACAGATTCCAGCTGTAATTCTTTGACATGTTAGATATTTAGTGCACCTGACTTACAGCACTTTCACTTTTCAGAACTTTGCTTCTGAAAAATTAGACTATGTTTTCTAATTTTCCCTAGAAACTCAGAGCTCTTAAAAAGCCTAAAAACTAGTACTCTGTTGGCCTGGCATTATTCCAAGAGCTAAGTGATGGATTCAGACCCCAACAAGAGTTGCTATTGTCCTTGAAGCCCTATTGGCATGACTTTGAACCTAGACAATTTATCTCTTGCCTGTCTTTAGGTTTAGCTGTCAAAAGCATATAACTATATCCATTGGTTGCTTTTCCAGATTGTCAGTGGTATAATTCATCATACCCAATCTCCTAAACTGCTGAAGAGATTGTTTCTGTTTTCCTATGCACAAAACAACACAGGTAAGAATTTTCTGAGTTTTAGTTTTATGATCAGCAGGATGTGTGTGTGTGTGTGTGTGTGTGTGTGAGAGAGAGAGAGAGAGAGAGAGAGAAAATAGGAATTGAACCTAGGACCTTACCCATGCTAGGCAAACTCTCTACAACTTAAGTCCTTTCTTTAGCCTATTTGTTTTTATTTTGCTTTTGAGATAGTGCCTGGTGTGGTCTGGAGCTTGAAATACTCCAGCTTCTGCCTTCTCCCCTAAATGTAGGCAGGATTCTTTATCTTTTTTCTTTTCTTTTTTTTTTATGCCAATCTTGGGCCTTGAACTCTGGGTCTCTGCATTGTCACTGAGTTTTTTTTTGCTCAAGGCTACCACTCTTACCACCTGAGCCACAGCTCCACTTCCAGATTTTTGTGATTAATTAGACATGAGCTCATGGATTTTCCTGCCTGGTCTGGCTTTGAACCATGATACTCAGATCTCAGCCTCCTGAGTAGCTTGGTTTACAGGGGTGAGCCATCAGTGCTCAGCTCATTGCCTTTTAGTAGAGTTTTGTGCCAGAGGCCAGGATACAGAGCATCTTTTTAAAAATTCCATCCTTCTCCTTTCTCCCATCTAATCTCCTTTATTTGGGGAAGTAAAGATAAGAACTGAGGCTAATGGGACAATTAGTTTTTTCAGTGAGGAGTGTATATATACTTTGCAACCTGAGTATCTTTAATTGTTCTCTGGCTTAATAATTTACAAAAGTGGTTTGGCTCAAAGGTCCTAAATGCTAATACCAGGGAATTTTAAGGAAGGACTTGCCTGTATTGGTAAGAACAATGAAGCCTGGAGGGTAGTTCTGAGAGGAAGATGGGTTAAGTGAGAGTGATGTATACTAATTTTAAAAAACACATTAAAAGAAAAAGAAAAGGCCTATGGGATTGAGTAAGTTTTGTGGGTTTTTTTTGGTCCGGTCGTGGGGCCTGAACTCTGGGCCTGGGCGCTGTCTCTCAGCTCTTCAGCTCAAGGCTAGCACGCTACCACTTGAGCCACAGGGCCACTTCCGGCTTTTTTTCTTTTTGCTTATGTGGTGCTGGGGAATCGAACCCAGGGCCTCATGCATGCAAGGCAAGCGCTCTACCACTGAGCCACCTTCCCAGCCCAAGTTTTGTTTTTTTTAATATATCTATTGGATTATTTATATATTGCATTTTCACTTTATGACAATTTCCATTTTAGCTACCTGGGTTTGAATTTCATTTCTACATTGCCTAGCACTGTTACCTGGGCAAGTTATTCAGCTTTTCTGTGCCATATTTATAACATCAGTAGGTAACCTATTATATTATCTGTCCTGAAGATTAAATTAATAAAATGTAATGCGCTCAAAATAGTGTCTTCAACATAGTGTTACACGGGTTGAGTGTCTCTTACTCAAAATATTTAGATACAGAAGTGTTTTGAAACTGGAAATACTGGCATATGTATAATGAAATAATCTTGGGGACGGGACCCAGTGTTAAATAAAGAATTCATTTAGGGGCTGGGAAGGTAGCTCAGTGGTAGAGCGCTTGCCTTGCATGCATGAGGCCCTGGGTTCGATTCCTCATCACCACATAAGCAAAAAGAAAAAAGCCGGAAGTGGCGCTGTAGCTCAAGTGGTTGAGTGCTAGCCTTGAGCTGAAGAGCTGAGGGACAGCGCCCAGGCCCAGAATTCAGGCCCCATGTATATTTCATATACATGTATTCATATAACCTGAAGGCTGTTTGTAAAAAAAAAAAATAAGTCATGGAGCTTGAACTCAGGGCTTGGTACTGTCTCTGAGCTCTTTTGCTCAAGGCTAGTGGTCTACCACTTTGAGCCACAGTTCCACTTCCTGTTTTTGGTGGTTAATTAGAGTTAGGCAACTTATGGACTTTCCTGCCTAGGTGGGCTTTGAACCACAATCCTCACATCTCAGCCTCCTAAGTAGAAAGGATTGTAGGTGTAAGCCATCAGTGCCTGGCTCCTGAAGGCAATTGCGTTACATACATTCTCTCTGTCTCTCATGCTGGTGCTCTCTCTCGCGCTCTCTTTCACGTTCTCTCGCTCTCTCTCTCGCTCTCTCGCTCTCTCACTCTCTCTTGCACTCTGCCCCTCTCTCTCTGTTTGTGTGTGTCTGTCTCTCACACACACAATTACTGGAGCTTTATCTCAGGGCTTTGTACTCACTGTGCATTTCCTACTCATGGCTGAGGCCCTGCTACTATAGGATGCTTCTACTTCAGCTTTTTGCTGACAAATTGAAGATGGAATCTCTTGGACTTTTCTGCCAAGGCTGGCTTTGAACTGTAATCTCCCAGGTCTAGCTAAGATTATAGCTATGAGCCACCAGTGCCCAGCTACAGTATTTTCAATGTACTTTTTTGTGTATATGGTGCTGGGGATTAAACCTAGGACCATGTGCATGATATACAAGTACTCTATTCCTGAGCTATATCCCCAACCCACACCTGTGTTTTGACTAGCTTGTCACATGAGGTCAGGTGTGGAATTTTCTACTTACATTCTTACATGGTCACTCAAGTTTTGGGTAGTATTCAGATTTTAGATTCTTAGATTGGGGATATTCAATATACACAAACATTGGTTATTGTCATCATCATTTTTCCTTTTATTTTTGCTATGGTTTTGTTTTCTGGTTTTGTTAACCAGAACAGGAGGGGTGGTTTTAGCAGATACTTTGTTTTTCCCAGAAGACTATTTTGGTGCATGTTACCTTCAGTCAGCAGATTATTGTCTAGGAGAAGACCAAGGATTACAACTACTGGGCTGCAAGAGCATTATTCCTAGGCATTTCATTCTAGCTGGTAGTGCCAGGGCTGGTTTAGGAACCAAAGTACCTGTCACCATGATGTGGCCCTGGGCTATGAGGCCCCAGCTCTTAATGTAGCTGCCTGAGCTCTTTATGGCCTTCAGTAAGCAAGTGCCATACTAGCCAGATGTTAGGTACAACTTTAAAGGGCAGAGGGATTTTTATTCAAGTATCTGACATGCTATTCAAGTTGGGTTGTTATGCACATATTGGTAGGGCTAAAAAATTCTTCAGTATTTTAGCCTTGGTGTCATACCCATCTTTTAGTGCTTCACACAATCTTTTTGTTTTACATAAATTATTTTGTGGTAAAATGAGAATGGAGCTATAAATTACTTTTGCAGGGAGCGGAACAAGAACAACTCATTTTCTGTACTATAAAAAGATAAGCTAAAGCCGGGCGCTGGTGGCTCACGCCTGTAATCCTAGCTACTCAGGAGGCTGAGATCTGAGGATCACGGTTCAAAGCCAGCCC